ACCATGATGTAATTTAAGATCTTTGACCGCGAGCGAAACACGTGCATCCGTCAACATTCGCTGCTTTACTAGAAAAACTCAATCTACTCAATTACCAATTATTCTTATATCAATATTTACAAATTTCTTCCGAACTCTATTAATTATTTCATCGAAATATCATTGGTATGAATTGTAATTGTCAATAGAATATAATATTTATATTTTTCGTTCTTACTTCCTCATACAGAAAAAAAACTATTGGCCCAATAGTGCCAATGCTATTGAATTTTGAATCCAATTTCTTTGAATAAGTAAAGAATTTCTGTATTGAATTAAGAAAATATATATTAAAATATAATAATTCATAATTTAGAATTAGAAGCATAATGTTGTCTAAGAAGAATATCATCTAATTTTAATTGATGTTTGTGAAATTTGAAGTTATTCCAAATGATCATTTTTTCTGTGAGGTAATATTCTTTTCCTTTAGAAGCAAGTCGAGAAATGTCTACTTCGTTAAATCCTTAATACCTTTCAAATCAGGAATTAAGGAAACATTTCCCAAGAATAAAAATTACAATGACACAATTTCGACAATCCTCAGAAAGACCAAATTCGCTTACACAGTGATCTGAATTTTCACTCAGTTATTTAAAATCTATATAATACTCAAAATGAGTTCCTTCTTCCAGAAGAAATGAAAACGAGATATAGTTTCATTAAAATGACGCGAGAATTAAAAATAATTCTAATTAGATGAGACAGGGAAACGTCATATGATCAACAATATAAAGGAGGAGCTTGACGAGGAAATAGAAAATTACCGATTTAGTATCCGGAAGTTGATTTGGATCAACAGAATATAACACGGGACGAAATTTGTCCCGAACAATTTTTACACACATGCTCGACATTATGTAAGATTGCTCGTGTTAGTTACACAACACATTCATCTATCAGGGCTGACATTTAATCGTTTCCGCTGAGCTCCGGTCTTTATCGAATTATGCTTTGTTCTTCTGTCGACCTTTTCAACTTCTGAGACAATTGACAGAAGCTAGGCGATGAAGCTAAGAACAGCTAGCAACAGTCTTTTGCCACAATGAAGATGCAGTACGAAGATTTCAATATATACGCCAAGCAAAAAATCAAACCACACATTGGAAGTTATATTTTACTTAATGTATATGTAACAGAAAATAGGAAACTTTTTTTTATTCTTATGTTACACTGTAAAAAGAAAGGTACTAATTTAGTACCAATTTTAGGTACTAAATCGTGATTTGGTTCTATTTTAATACCGAAAATCAGCTCTAATTTAGAACCTTTTATTTACAGTGTAGAAAGAATTATACTGTACGAAATAATTGTCAAATTATAGAAGAAAGGAATTTTTAAGCAAAGTCGATTTTGAGGTATTTTCCTTATATGAAAAGAAGAGCGGCAATTTTATATGTCATGTCATCGTTGCCACAAAAATTTAATTTTGTTTTTAACTTTACCCTGATTTTTAGAAAAAATATTAACTTCTTCTGTGACCCTAAAAAATATTCTGATTCATTCTAAAAATTGTTAGATACTCAAAAAAAAATTCCAATACATTTATTAGCGAATTTCTTTAATTGAAAAAAAACATCAATAACTCGGAGTGATAGATTTCTTCATATTAGAGATGGCCCAGCGATAAAGTCATTATTTTATATTGGGCTGATTCTATCTCAATTCATGCAGGGCGAATAGGTTAGAAATTCTAAATCAAGTTAAAGGTAATTTCTCTTGTTCTTTAGGACAAATAAAGAGACACGTATTTTTTATTTGTCGAAAAAAAAAATTTTAGCTGAGTTATAAGTGTTTGAAAATTTTAGGACATGTCGTGATTTTAAAGCTAAACAGCTGACAAATTATTTTCAAATCTTTCTACTTTTTGCAAAAATAAATATTTTTCATTTTTTTTCTTGATTTTAGTAGTGTTTTTGATACTTTTTCTTTGCAAACTTGAAAATTTGAAAAATTTTGAAAATTAACAAAATGGCGGCCATTTTCCGAAAAATCAAAAAAGTCAATTTTCTCAAAAATATCATTTTTTATTTTTCGTAAAATTTTTGTGTGATTACTAGATGAAAAAAGGAACTTTTTCCAAAAGGTTTCATGTCCGCTAAAACTGTTTGGAAGTCGCTATAATTTTTTTCAGAAAATAACAAATCTCATTATTTTGAGTAATGTATCGGCATTTATATATTTTGCATGTTTATGTTTTTCGATGATTAGTAGTGTTTTTGGTACCTACTTTTTATTTGCAAACTTGAAAATTTTGAAAATTAACAAAATGGCGGCCATTTTTCAAAAAATCGAAAACTAAAAACACTAAAAGTAATTGAATAAAAATATTCATTTGGAGGTTTTTGGGGTCGCTGAGTTAGAATATTTGGTTAAAATTTTATAATTCAAAATGGCGACCAAAAAAATTTAACGGTCGACATTTTGTTAATTTTCAAAATTTTCAAGTTTGCAAATAAAAAGTACCAAAATTAACTGATTTTCAGTGAAATTTCACTGATTCAAATCGTGAGAATAGAGTCACTGATTCTCAGTCAAATTTCACTGATTTTCAGTGGAATTTCACTGATTCAGATTTAGAGAGAAAATAATGAGATTTGTTATTTTCTGAAAAAAATTATAGCGACTTCCAAACAGTTTTAGCGGACATGAAACCTTTTAAAATTAGTTCCTTTTTTCATCTAGTAATCACACAAAAATTTTAAGAAAAATAAAAAATGATATTTTTGAGAAAATTGACTTTTTTGATTTATCGAAAAATGTCCGCCATTTTATTAATTTTCAAAATTTTTCAAATTTTCAAGTTTGCAAAGAAAAAGTATCAAAAACACTACTAAAATCAAGAAAAAAAATTGAAAAATATTTATTTTTGCAATAACTAGAAAGATTTGAAAATAATTTGTCAGCTGTTTAGCTCTAAAATCACGATATGTCCTAAAATGTTCAAACACTCATAACTCAGCTAAAAAATTTTCTTTCGCTAAATAAAAAAATACGTGTCTCTTTATTTGTCCTAAAGAACAAGAAAAATTACCTTTAACTTGATTTAGAATTTTTAACCTATTCGCCCTGCATGAATTGAAATGGAATCAGCAATTTGTAAGAATATAGTAACTTCTTCCAAGTTATTTTCATCATTTAGAATTCAATTATTATTTTCAAAATTATTATTTTCAAATTCTACTTTTTTTCTTTTACTTTTTCTACTTTAGATCAATTATTTTTAATAATTTTCGTAAAAGTTCTTTGGCAATTTTCAAATCCATCTGTTTACAATATTCAATTTCAAGAAATTTCAATTATTCCTAAATTCTTCAATTAAATGCATATATTAGAAAATAAAAACTTCAAATAATAAAAAAAAATTAATTTCAAAATTCAGTTATTTCTAAAAATCCACGCTATATTGCTTTTAATATAGAGAGAAGAAATTTATTTATATAGAAGAAATAAATTTTTAATCACTTTTTACCAAATTTTGATTGTCTAATAGTGTTCGGGTGAGGATGCTACTACTTAAAAATTGCAAGAAAATTCTTTATTCTTCAGGATTGTGTAGGGCTCAGTCCCTACTAGAACTCAGTTGATTTTCAGATGATTAGAATTTTTTAATTTGAAATAAATAAATTTTTAATCAGTTTTTACCAGAATTGTTTTTATAGAAAAAAAGGATAAAAAAATATTTTTTAAAAAAAGTGAGCACCTACCCTTTTAGTATTTCTACTTTTTTTTAGTATTTCTAATTTGTCTACGTTTCGAGAAATTTTGACAATTTAAGTAAAATATCTCTAATATCTCTAATAATATTTTCAAAATCATACGATTTTGGAGATAATAATGATTATGTGTGTATCAAGGATAACGAAATAAATGATCCTGACATTAAGAAGAAAATTTTATCTATACTCTTAAGACTTTAAAAATATAACTAGTACTTCCTATTATATAAGCCTTAATGACGAGAAATTTTTATTATATTATTAGGAAGATAGTATGATATTAAATCATTACATGACAATAACAATTTAAAACAATTGAAAAATTATTTCTAAGTTACAATTAGTTACCGTGAAACTGAACTTAATGCAGAAATGTAGTGTTTGTTATAAATGAGAATTTACAGGATTGCTGCAGAAAAATTTGATTTTCTTTCTCCCTGATTTCGAGAAATAATTATCCATTTTAAATTTCCAACCCTAAAGAATATTCTGATTCAGTATAAAAATTATTAGATATACAAAAAAAATGTTTTTAATACATTTGTGAATATCTTTCAGGCCTCGTACTCAATAAGTAATTTTAAAAAAGTAGTAAAAAGTAGCTTTAATACCGAAAAAAGTAGTAAAAATGTAGTTATTGAAAAATTAAATCTGTCGACTAAAAACAACTAGTTTTAGATGATTCAGAAAATCACAAAAATTTAATTCTGCATTTTCTTTCTAATTTTCATCAAAAAAATTTACATTTTTTCTCATACTGCTAATAATTTGAATTCTAAATTTTTTCAAAATTCAATAATTTTCTAAATTTTAATTTTAAATTCTACAGAAATTACAATATTTCAAATGATTACTGTGTAAATTTTTTTTGAAATTTAACAATTTCTAAAATTTACAACTGTAATTCTTCCAAAATTCAATAATTTTGTTGTTGATGTTTTTAATTAAAATTATTTAAAACTTTAATAATTTTTTAAGAAAAAAATAAATTTAAATATTTAAAGAAAAATTAAGTTGCATTAAAATTTTCAAATAATAATTGAATTCCCGAGAAGAATAAATTTTCTAAAAATTCTTTTAAATAATTATCGATTTTTTTTCGAAAAAAATTCAATGAAAATTGTATTTTAAATAATTGAATTCCTGTAAAAATTTGATTATTTATGAAAAAAAATTGAACTGTGATTAAAATAAAACGATGTTGAAATAAACAAAAAAATAATATGATTTACTTTTCTCCAGGTGAAATGGCAGTTGTGTATCTTTTCATGAGATACCGATTCAACTGGGACGAACTGAGGTTTAGCATGTTTTCAACTTACAGCATGGTGACAAATCTCATTGGTGAGAAAGATTTAAATTCAAATTAAAATTTTTGAAAATAATAATCAGTAATAATTAATTATGTACTTAATAAGCAATAAAAATTTAATTTGCTCAAGAAATAAATAAATAAATATCAACTATTTGAACATTCAGAAATTTAAAATTATAAAAGTTTAAGAGAAGTTTAATAATTATAATTATTGAATAATAATATAATAATATAACTTTTAGAAGCAAAAAATTTATTTAAAACTTTAAGAGGGACTTTATATTTTAGAAATTAAAATAATTACGGTGACTCACTTCCCTTTATTATTTTCGAAAAATTTAAATAAAATTCTTTAAAAGAATTTAATTATTTTTAACAGAATATAAAGAAATTTCAATTATTTCAAAAATTTTCAATTATTTGTATATAAAAATTCAATTATCTTGAAACAATAGAATTGAAAAATTTCAAAAATCTTATTTTTCTGAATTTTCAAAAAAAAAACTTTGCGAAAATTCAATTTTATTAAAAAATTTTAAATGTGCGTCTCTTTTTAAATTAACTAATAAAAATTTTAATTATTAATCTTCGCCCTAAGAAACATGAATACATTAGAATGTGACTTTTTACAAAATTCAATTATTTATCAATCAATAAATTAAAATACTTTGAAAATTCGATTTGTTAAAAAGTTTTTACTGAAATTCTTTAACTTTAATTATTTTCAGTTGAATTTCTCACATTTCTATTAATTCGATAATTTAAAAAAAAATTATTTACATACTACATACATACTAATTGAAATTTAGAGAACAGTATAAATATCTATAAAAATTGAAATAAAAAGCATTTCTTTAAAAACAAATAAAAATAATAAAACTATTTTTAATTTGGTGAAAAAATTCCCGGTTTGGCATAAAATTCCTGGTTTATTTCCGGTTAGTAGACACCCTAAGAATGTAAAATAATGAAAAGTATGAAATAAAACGAAATTTCTGAACAAATAATTAAAAAATACTTTTTCAGGTACTACAATATCAGTAGGTCTCTTTAGTCACGTTTTAAAAATTGATGATGCTGTTGTGGGAATTATGAGCTGCATGAGTAAAATTTTATCAAGCTTCGTATACGCCTTTGCAACAACGAATACAATGATTTATCTCGGTAGGTATTTTTTTTTCCTTTTTTAAAAATATTTTTAAAAAAGATAAATAATTCCTTGAAAAAATTTATACGATATATTTTAATATACGATCATTTTAATTTGCAGCCCCTCTTGTCGAAATTGTCAATGGAACCTCATTTATTGCAATGCGATCAATTATGTCGAAATTAGTGCCAAATGATGAATTAGGTAAATTATCAATTATACTCTGCGATTAACAATTAAATGTTACAATCTAAAGTTGAATAATCACTTTAATCTCTTTTTATCGTTTTACCAAATTTTCAAAATATAAATTCGAAATTTTGTTTTATTTAGAAAAAAATTAATAAAATAAATTTTTAGGCAAAGTGAATTCCTTGTTTGGCGTTTGCGAATCTCTAATGCCACTACTTTATGGACCAATGTACAGTTTCGTTTATCGATCAACGATGGAGACATTTCCAGGAGCATTTTTCATACTTGGTGGAATTCTCACTTCACCAGCCGTTTTCGCCTTTTTGTAAGTGTATTTTATTATTTTTATTATTTAACGCCATTCGGGAAAAATTAAAATAAGAAAAATTGAAATTCGTTTATATTTAAAGTTAAAACTCTCTGAAATAAATAAATAGTTAATAAAAATAAAATAAATAAAGTAAAATAGTTATAAAATTATGAATATTAACGAAAATTTTAAAATTTAATATGGAGACTTTTCTACTCTTCACCTGCGAACGCCAAGGCCACCGCTAGATGGCAGTTCAGTCGAAATTTGCGAAACTATTATTTTCTCCCGAATGCCCTTAAACTAAACAAACTTTTATTTAAATTATAAACTTTTTAAAAAAATTATTAAAAAAATTAAAATTTTTAATTAAAAAACTATGTGACTAAATTTTAAACTAAAAAAATAATTGAAAATTTTTACTTTATCACCAAAGGAAAAATACTAGAAACGTGACCGCAAAGATGTTTTCTCTTAATCAGGTTTTAAATTCTAAAAATGTTTTAAAAAGAATGTGGAATTTTGATAAAATTTTCTTCTTTTTTTTATTGTAATCAACACTTTTACTAGGTCCGCATTTGCAATTTTCTGATAATGTCTTTCCATTATAAACTTGCATAACAACACTATAGTAATTTCAAGAATTACGTTACTGCATAAATACTTATCATATCTTGAAAAGAAAAATAGTTTGTCAGCAGTAAATTAAAAAGCATTCAAATTTGCTCATAACAATCAAATTGTGCGGCTTTACGAAATAATTTAAAATTTTAAACTTTTCATCTTAAAAAGTCTAAAAAAAAACTTAAATTACAAAAAGATCTTAAAGAAGATAATAAAATTATATGAGGAATGAGATAACAATTCTCTTAGTTTTTAAGTTATACATATATATATATATATATATATATATATATATATATATATATATATATATATATATATATATGCTGTACATACGTAAAATTCAAAAGAGCATTAAAAAAAATATTATTACGAACATAATTGAGTTATGTACACTACTTCATTTTTAAATATTAAATTTAATTGAAAACCAAGATATATTATAATTGACAGTTTTAAAATAAATATTTTTAAGTGGAAAATCTATTTTAAAAAAACAAAAAGATAATAAAAAAAAATAATAAAATAATAAATGAAAAAATTATAAAAAAAATAATAAAACAATACTAAGTAAAAAAAATAAAAAAATAGTAAATAAAAAAATATCTGTTCGCAGTTTAAAGTTATTCTGTTTCCTTTTTTGTTTCCTAATCTTTCTGGTAATTTTTACTGCTTCTAAATGGTTTAAATTTTAAAGTTAATTAAACCTTAATTTAATATTATTTAAATTGTAAAATTATAAAATAATTGTTTTAAATTAAAAATTAAATACGAAATAATTAAATTCCTGCATATAACTTTATTGAAACTTTTGAAAATAATTGAATTTTAATTATTTAAAAAGATAATTGAATTCTTGACAAGAATTTTAATAAAACTTAAAAATAATTGAATTTTTGAAAAAAATTTTATTAAAATTTTGAAAATAATTGAATTTTTGCGTAGATTTTTAGTATTTATAAATATAATTGAAATCCTGTCAAGAAATTTATTATTTATGCAGGTAATTGAATTCCTGCCAAGAATTTTATTAAAATTTTAAAAATAATTCAATTTCTGCTCATAATTTTATTTATTGAATTTTATTTTATTTAATTCTTGCAAAAATTCTTATTAAAACTTTTGAAAATAATTAAATTTTTATCAAGAATTTTATTATTTATGAAGATAATTGAATTATTCACAAGAATGTTATTAAAACTTTTGGAAATAATTGAATTGTTGCAAAAAATTTTATTAAAATTTTGGAACTAATTGAATTTCTGATGAAAATTTTATTATTTTTTAAGATTTTTGACAAGAATTTTATTAAAATTATACTGAAAATATTTCATTTTTAGCATAGAATTTTATTATTTATGAAGATAATTAAATTCATGCTAAGAATTTTTTTTAAATTTTCAATATAATTGAAGTTCAAAGAAGAATTTTATTATTTATAAAAATAATTGAAATTATGAAGATAATTTTAAAGAATTTTTGGAAGATAATAGAATTTCTGCAAAGAGTTTTATTTTATTTTTATTTTTTTATTTTATTTATTTATTTATTTTTTTATTTCTTGCAAAGATATGATTAAAATTTTTAAAAATAATTGAATTGTTACAATAAATTTTATTAAAATTTTGAAAATAATTTAATGTCTGCTGAAAATTTTATCATTTTTAAAAATAATTTCAGAATTTTATTAAAATTTTTATAATCATTGAAGAATTCTTTCGACAAAATTAAAATATTTATGTAAAGCATTGATATTATAATTATAAAAAGTGAAAGGTTATTTAATTATATTTACAAAAAATGCAATAAATGATAATAATTAATTAGTTGATTAGTTAATAACTGAATGTTTTTTAATTTTGAATCTAAAATTATATTCAAAAATTGAAATTAATATTGAAAAATAAAAAATTGTGAAATTTGCATAATATGTAATAATAAAAAATTGAACTCCGCTTTTCGCACGCGTAACATTTGTTAGTGATAAATAATAAAAATAAAAAATAATAATCTCTATAATACATTTTTTTGTAGATGGCTTTATAGAGAACACAGAAGAGACAGAATCAAATTAGAAAAAGAGGAAGCAGACCAAAAAAAGGACAAGGGAGATAATAATTTAGAAAATAATTTATCATTGACGAAAATTTTAACCGAAAGTGAAAAATCAGGAATTGAAAATGCAGCCTTTGAATCAGAAAAGCTGTGATTTTATTCTGATTTCAACTATTTTTGTTTTACGTAACCGATGACTAAATGAACAATATAAACACACAAACACGCGGAAAACACTGTTTTTCGTAATAAAAATGATCTGCTTGCAGAAATGAATAAATGAAGGTCATCATCAAATCCAAATTCAATTCAAGGGAATTTTCGGAAATTCCAAGATTACAAATCATCAACATTTATCATTATATCATATTTCTCTTACTTCTCGTATTTAAGATTTCTCGTGATAGAACGCACATTATATATTATACCTTGATGATAAAGCGAGCAGTGCAAAAAAACAAAAAAATTATACAAAACATATTCAAATGCAGTTTTTTACTGCGAAAGATTTAAAAATAAATTAAAATAAAATAAAGCGTAACAATTTTTTTTATACAAAATAACTAAATGAACGAAAAAAATAAAACACGTTCTTAAATAAGTTTCATTGTTTTAAAATTAAAAAGCATTTTAAAATAAATACACAAATTTATGTATTTTGCAAATATTTTTCCAATCAGCGTTCTACACTCAGAAAAAAATTTATTTGAATCAAATAAATTTTTGTTGAAATAAAAATTCCGATTTTATAGCGTGAAAAGTAAAAAAAAAGTGTCTTTTTTTACTCTAGTGAAAAGTGTAACTGTTTCAGGTAAAATTTATCTTTAGTGCGTTTGTTTAGTTCAAATAAAAATTTGCTTCAGATAACCAAACTCTTTTTAGAATGCAAAAATTGTTAAACTGAACCAAATGTTCATTTAATTAAATCAAATAAATAACAAACTTTAATCAGAATAAAAAACTAAAACTTAGGTTTAAACAACGAAATAGAATAATTGATTTAAGTAAAATTTTTCCCTGAGTGTAATTTATATTAATTTTTTTTATCACAATAAAAAGACGCATAAATTTTGATTAATTAATTTATAATCTAATTTTAATTTATGTAATGTAAAATAAAACTTGCTTTATAAGAAGACTGGCTTCTAAATAATACTCTGCAATGATGGAACGTGTGTGTAAAACACGTAAAAAAAAGTGATTGTAAATTTTCACCGAAGCCTATACGATATATTTTTTTTAGAAAAAGAAAAAGAAAATAAACGACTATTGTCCACGTCTATTGAAATATAAATATATAAAAATTAATTTGTTATAAGAAAATAAAAAATATTTTTATGTATATAGATATAGTGTGCAGCCCAGTACTTAAGTTACCGATACAATGATAATAATAATAATAATTATATATATTATATAGTTAAATATAAAATGACCATTAGGTCAACTTTTACAGTATTACTGTACATGACTTGTGTTAAAAATTTTAATATTTCTAGACGTAATTATAATTTTTAATGATATTGTATAAAGTATTAAATTTACTTGTGATATAGAGTTAGAATTATATTGCAAAAATATTATTCTAGCATTTTGCAGTATATCAATAAATATTTAATATGCGTATACTGAAAATCTTTATCTTTTAAGAAACTACTCCTTTTTTTCTACTTCTTTCCAAAAAGCATTATGAGGCTATAGCTGTAAATGAAATAATTTTAAAAATGGCATATTTGTCTTTTTCCTTCGGCACCTGCTCAGGGTTGACACAAAAAAATTAAATTTTTAGAATTTATAAGAAAATTCTGAATTTTAGAGTCATTTTTGTTTGCCTTATAAACTATGAAATTGTCAAGAATTCTAATACGAAACCTTCAATTTTTTCAATTTCTGACAAAAATTTATTTTTAAATAACTTAATTCTTCACAAGAACTATCATAAAATTATTTTTAATGTCTACTATTTTAATAACAATTTTCCAAAAGAATAATTCAATTATTTAAACAAAATTTTAATAAAAATTTCACAGGAATTCAATTACTTACCAATTTTTTTTTTATAAATTTCTTTAAACCAATTCAATTTTATTTTTCATTTTTTAATGAAATTTCTCGAAAAAATTCAAATATATTCAGAGAAGAAAAAATAGTTCTGAGAAATTCAATTATTCCGAAAAATTTAAATAAAATTTTTTTCGAAATTCTATTATTTAAAAAAATGTTATTGACAAAATTCTTTACAAGATTTAGTTAATAAAATTTTCAAATACAATTCTTTTTAAAAATTCAATTATTTTCACGAATAATATATTTTTTTACGTGAATTAAATTATTTTAAAAAATTTGAATAAAATTCTTCGCAAGAAATCAATTATTTTCTTAAATAATAAAATTTTTTTCAAGAATTAAATTATTTAAAAAAATTTTGATAAAATGCTTTATAAATTTCAAAAATTATAATAGAATTGATCATAGCATACAATTATTTTCGTAAAATATAACATTCTTCCTGGGAATACAATAATTTTTGTCAAAATTGTTTGTAAAAATCTTCGAAACAATTCAATTATTTTTGTAAAAAATAAAAAATTCTTCGAAGCAATTCAATTATTTAAGAAATTTTAATAAAATTTTTCCAAAGAATTCAATTATTTTCAGAAATAAGAATTCTTCACTGGAATTCAATTCTTTAAAAAATTTTTTTTAATAAAATTCATTGCAAGAATTCAATTATTATTATAAATAACAAAAGCTTATCTCAGAAATTAAATTATTTTTTATACAATAATTTTAAACAGATTTTAAATAAAATGATTGAAAATTGCATTTATTCTTAAATTTTTTTAAATTTCGGACGAAAGAATTTAATTATTTTTAAAAATTTTGATAAAATTCTTCATAAATAATACAATTTTTCCTAGGAGACAAATTATTTTTAGTACAATTTTATTTATTTATTTTACAAATTTCAAATGAATTCTAGGAGAAATGTAATTATTTTCAAACATTTTTTGCAAGAATTCAATTATATTTCAAAAATAATAAAATTTTTCGCTAAAATTAAAATATTTTCAAAATCAACTATTTTGGTAAAAATTCTCAAAAGAATTCAATTATTAAAAAAAAAATGTAATAAAATTCATTGCAAGAATTCAATTATTTTCATAAATTAATATAATTCTTCACATGATTTCAATTATTTAAAAGAAATGTGATAAAATTCGTTGCAGTTATTTCTGAATAATTAAAAAATTGAAATAAATAAATTATAGTCATGATTTTATAGGTATACAAATTCTCTGAAGAGATAATTACATTAAGTTTACATTAAATGTTTTTTATTATTATTTTTTTTAAACAATGAATGGAAATTAGCATGAACTGAATTTAATTTGATAAAAACTAGTGCGCTGGGCAGATTTGATTCGAAGCGATCAAAATAAATAGGTGCGACAAACAGATTTGGTTTCGATAAAAATAAAAAAGTGAGCCTTGCAGATTTGATTAAAAGTCATAAAAATAAAAATCTTTCTTATAGAATTATATTCATAATTATCTTTTTCTTTACAACGTAGACTTTTCGCAAATAAATTCTGTCGCCAAAGCATTAAATTCCTCGGAATATCTTAAATGTAGATTATGGCTTCCTTGTTCAAAATATTTTACTCTGAAAATCCATTTTAACATTGACGGTTAATATTTTTGATTGAAATATTAATATTTTGTACTTTTATATTTCTATAGTTTATTAATAGTACTCACCGTGAATTTTTGATATGTTTGTTCAAATATGGAGGATGCTCATGAGAAACTAAGACATCTTTCCTCCCATGAACAATTAATGTTGGACATTTAATATTAGCAAGATGTTCATTACAAATATTGCCATTATTTTTTTCAAATAGTACAATCATTGTGTCGACCCACTTGATCCAAGTTGTTTGGAAATAATCTTTTCCATATAAATTTATGAAAGGATCTCTCATTTTTGCTGACCAACTCTCAATATCTCTAATAGCTATAACGTTAATAAGTGGGTGTAGTTTGGGATTAGGTTAATAAAAATTATATACAGTACCGTCCGAAATTGTCAGTCCACCCATTTTTAAAGGAATGAAAAAAATTCTTTAACGTAAAATTCATGAAAACTAAAATTTTTTTTGGTTTATATTTTGTAAGAGGATAAAATTTTGAAAAGAATAAGACCTCACAGAAGTCATTTGCCCAAAATTTGTAGAAGATATTCTTAATAATCGTCATTTTCAATGTTTTACAAAAATTTGAATAACTTCTAAAATAATGAACGCTTTTTAATAATCTTTGGCTTATTTTAAAGGTCATTTTCTACGGAATAAAAATTACTTATAGGCATTAACCTGTAATTTTTTACTTGGAATAAGCATGACGTCAAAGTTGGACAAAAAAATTCAAAAAATTTGAAATAATATTATTAAAAGAAAAATAATTTTTGAAATTCAAACATATTTTTTTATTAACTTTTCTTTAAAAATCTTCACCATATCATGTTTTATATATGTTCTAGAATAGTTTTTAGTACAAAAAATTTATTTCAAATTTTTCTAATTTTTTTGTCCAACTTTGACGTCATGCTTATTCCAAATAAAAAATTACAGGTTAATGCCTATAAGTAATGCTTATTCCGTAGAAAACGACCTTTAAAATAAGCCAAAGATTATTAAAAAGCGTTCATTATTTTAGACGTTATTCAAATTTTTGTAAAACATTGAAAATGACGATTTTTAAGAACATCTTCTACAAATTTTGGTCAAATAACTTCTGTGAGGTCTTATTCTTTTCAAAATTTTATTGTCTTTCAAAATATAAACCAAAAAAATTTTGAGTTTTCATAAATTTTATGTTAAAAAATTTTTTTCATTCCTTCAAAAATGGGTGGACTGACAATTTTGGCCGGTACTGTATATATTGATTAAAAAAATACTAACACTTGTAAATTTGAACCTCTTCAGGTAAAATAAAAGAATTAGTTCCAAGTACTAACATTTTTCTAACGTTTTCCGAAAACTTGGAAGCTAAAATTAAGGAAGTGATACCACCATCACTCCAACCAATCAAAGAAAATGTTGAGTGTCCAAGAGCTTTCATTAAATGGCATCCCCACATTGCATCTAGTTCAAAAAAGTTTTCAGGATACGTTCGGTTTGGAGGTCTTGTCATTCCATATCCAGGTGGATCCCAGGCCACAATTTTAAACTTATCTCTGGATAAACATTCTATCTGTGGTTTAAAGTCAGTCCATGCTGAACCTTAAAAATTTTAAAAGAAATTAATTTTCTTTTAATGGTCACAGTTTAGGCCTGACATATTTTTTTGGCATAGGCACTTTTGGGAAATCTTCTGGATTCCGCAAATCCAAGGTTATGTGGGATTGATATAAAAGGAAAATAAAAATAAATGAAACGTTTTAACTTAACTGGCTGGCTCTTAACTTAACTCACTGCAAAAATTAATTTACATTCCAAAGAATCTGATAAGTTTATTTAAAAGAAATATTTTAATACTTTCTGCTACTCACCCATTGCACCTGGTAAAAGTAATACAGGATGTTCTCCGGTTCCAACTTGAACGCAATTAATATCAATACCATCTACTTTAATTTTACCTTCCTGAAAACGTTGAAGTTAAAATTAAGTTAATTTTTAAATAAATAATTTTTAATTTTTTATCATCAGTAGATATTTTATTAAAACATTGCACAACTGAGAAGAAACTAGTATAATTTCTAGCTGAGGCGCAAAATTATTCCCCAAATGTCATTTTACCGAACTGTCATTTTAACGAATTGCATTTATTCGAACTGTTATTTTAAAGAAATGTCACTTTTGCGAATTGACATTTTTACGAATTGACACATTTGCGAAAAGTCATTTTTGCGAAATATCATTTTTACGAATTGTCATTTTTACGAATCGTTATTGTTCCGAATCGTCATTTTTTCGAATTGTCATTTTTACGAAATATAATTTTTGCGAATTGCCATTTTTACGAATTGTCACTTTTGCGAAAATTGTTATAGTAAATCTATTTATATGCATACAAGTTTACTACATTAATTTTCGCAAACATGACAATTCGCAACAGTGACATTACGTAAAAATGCCAATTCGAAAAAATGGCAGTTCGCATAAATGACAATTCGAAAAAATGACAATTCGCAAAAATGACATTTCGAAAAAGTGACAATTCGTAAAAATGGCAATTCGCAAAAATTATATTTCGTAAAAATGACAATTCGAAAAAATGACGATTCGGAACAATAACGATTCGTAAAAATGACAATTCGTAAAAATGATATTTCGCAAAAATGATTTTTCGCAAAAGTGACAATTCGTAAAAATGTCGATTAGCAAAAGTGACATTTCGTTAAAACAACAGTTCAGATAAATGCAATTCGGTAAAATGACAGTTTCGGTCAAATGACATTTGGGGAATAATCATGCGCCTCTTTCTAGCTTTATAAATATACAGTTTATAAAAAGAATAACAACAATTAATTGTTTAATTAATTTATTTTCTATCATTAATAGATGTTTTACTCTTAACAAATTGTACAGTTGAGAAAAAACTAGAAATTTCTATCCCTAATTACAGTTTATAAAAAAAATAACAATTAATTTTTATACTTTTTTTCATGTAAATCAGAAACACAAGTTTAAACTTTTCTAATGGAAAATTTATTTCTCTATCAGATTATGCCGTTAAAATTTGCCTGCAATAAATATTATAAAATTTCTTTTCATTCGTATTTTCACCGGAATAAAGCAAGTGAATGCTCTCTGAAGGTCAAATTATTATCCATGGATCCTCAGCTTTGAATCCTATAAAGCGAGTAATTTTTAATTTTAAGATGGCGGAAACGAATAACGAATTTGATGCCAGTTTTCAAAAATCTAAAATGGTGGATCCAATATGGTGGACAAAATGTATAATAATTAATACTATTTTTTTTACTAAAAAAATATGATAAAAAAGAGGTAAAAAAATTGTTTCTCCGTCAAAAAGGGATTCAATTTGAAGAACTGCTAAATAACTTCAAAATTTTTTAACAGAACTGATAACCTTTTTCCTCTTAAGTTTTTTTTGGGGGTCTTGGATTAAGAATGTTATATTTCAAAATTTCAAAATGGTGGATCCAATATGGCGACTACTTCTTTCAAAAACCATCTAATTTCCTTGAATTTTGTCTCATGGGGGTTTTTTATAATCGCTGATTATAAATTTGCTTTAAAATTTTTAATTTCAAAATGTCGGATCCAATATAGCGACTAATTTCTACAAAAAACATCTAATTTGTTAACATTTTTCTTCGCCATCTTGAAATTAAAAATTGGTCGCAACAAGTGTTTGCGTAACTAATGGTAGCAATATTTTGAGCTTTTTTGAGAGAATCTTGCTTTTTCTCAGAGAAAAGAAATTTTTTATCGTAAATTGGTTTTTTTCAAATAAATTGTTTATAACTTTTATAATATTTGTTACAGAAAAATTTTAACCCCAGAATCTGAAAGAGGAATAAATTTTACTTAAGAAGAGATACATGACAAGTTTTTTGTTTGCATTTTCGTAGAAAACGGGTTTATCAAAGACAGTTAAAATTTTTCGTCTGGGCGCTTATTGGTTAAGAAATATTGGAATAAAATCTATCAGTATTTACGCACCTTTATTTTATGTTCGACATTTGTTGAAAAATCCATTACTTTTAAATTGTTAAAATACAATTTTCGCATTGAATTAAATAACTTTCTTTGTAAGTCAGAAAACATTGTTGTTACGTGTTATCAACACTTATAGAATGTAAAATGATAAAGCATGTTGCATTAAGAATCATCAGGGATGGATCAAAAGCCATTGGTGCCCAGTACTGAAAAAGTAAAAAGAAATATAAAGTATGGTATTATGAGAAATGTTGAAATGAATGATTCTGATTGCAGAAGTTACCATTCAACTAAGCGTATAGCAATTTGTTTATTGAGTTCATAATAAAATACATTAGTACTTCTTTATATTTTCTTTTGTTTAAAAAAAATAGTTTTCGATAATTTTTATTTGTTCAGCTCATATAAGTTAATTTAAAAATAATTTTGTGAAGATCTACTTTAATTGGAAAAATCCTATTTCGTTATAAGATTTTCTAATTGATCTATATAACGATAATATTTCTTTGATGTTCTTCCCGAAGCTTCCATCCACCTTCTAAATGTCATTAGTCCCAAATGTGCTTCTGTTGATGATACTTCTTGTAATTCCCTTATTTCATTTGTTTCATCATCTCTTAATACATTTGATGATGTGACTTGCTGTGAATCCGTACTTTCCACAATATTATCAATTATTTCAATTTCACTCTTAACAGTAGATTCTATTATCTTGCTTCCCACATTTTCTTCAATTTCACTTCTTACTGATTCTGCTTTTTCAGCTTCAACAGTATTTTCATTTTCCTCATTGTCACTTTTTGCACATTCCATTTTTAAACAATCATCAAATGTTATTATATCCTCAAATGCATCTGATGATGTTATTGCTTCTATTGTTCCACAATTATTTTCATTTCCCTCAGGATTATCTGATATTTCAACAAATTCCGTGTTATTTATCACCAATTTTTTCTTTTTTATTGTTACAAAATCTATAATTCCAACATCACTTAATGCTTCCCATCCACAGTCACTGTAGTGTTTTTCAAACCATTTAATGAACAATTCTTTAGAATATTCTAATTGTGGTGATAATTGAATCAATTGATTCCATACTTCAGTGGGGAATTTAAAAAAATTATCATTAGACGTTTCGGAAGATTTTATGAAATCTTCATTTGAATTTCTTTTAAATGTAAAATTCTCGGCATTAAAGGAAGGATCACCCAAAAGTGATTTCCAATATTTTTCATGACTAATTGAATCAATACCGTACCAAGCTCTACTTAACAGGTCTAAGCAATCCTGAAAATTTAAATGATTGAAAAATTCATCAGAAGATGGTATCTTCTTGTAATTTAATAATGACTGTAGTAAATTTTTTTTATAAAGTATTTTTGTTGTTGATATTAAACCCTGTTCCATGGGTTGAATTTTGGGTGACACATTACGCGGTAAGTAGATAACTTCAAAATTTTGGTGTACTGAATTTAAATCTTTTACATCTGGATGACATGGTGCGTTATCTAGAATTAATAACACCTTTCCCGTTTTGCCTCTCGAATTATGATGTGCCAAGACATGTGGAATGAAAATATCCGTGTACCTGAAAGTTTAAAACATTTGTTCTAATCCTAATCAGCTTTATATACTTCAAAATCTAAATTCTAAATCATTAATGAAATGAAATAAAATTACCATAGCATAAAGAGTTCACTGTCCATATATGATTTATTTTGATCAGCATAAATGATATTAACATTTTCATTATATTTTAACCGTTTATCCTTTGAATGACCAGTAAAAAAATCCTCTAAATATCCATACATTTCGGAATCTCCAATTATTAGCGGAGGTATTCGATGACTACCATTGAAATTCGAACAAAATAAAGCCGTAATATGACTATTCAAATGTTTTGTTTCTTGATATTTCATTTCCATTGTGCACTGTTGAGAAAATGGAGATGTTCTCCAAAAAATACCAGTCTCATCAGCATTATAAACATTTTCGGTTGATAAATTTTCAACAGCTATTTTTTGATTTAGAACACAGTAGAAAAATTTTTCCGCTCCAAAATCATTTGATACGACTTCATCTTTAATTTGAATATTTGTAATGCAGTGTCTTCTTTTAAAACTTTGAAACCAACCATTGCTTGCCTGTAAAGAAAGAGAAGTATGTTGATAGAGTAGAAAAAGAGGATTTATTTTCTATTTTCTATACGTACTTTAAATTTATGCAACGGTATATCCAACATTTTACCAAATGTAAGAGCTTTCTGTTGAATAATTGCCATTGAAAGTGTACTACCTCTGTCTCTTTCTTGTAAATACCATTTTATAACAGCATCATCTAACAATTTGGCACTAGTTGCTTTCGAAAATTTTCTATTTGTTTCAAAATTGTTGGTATTTTTTAAAATCTCCGATTTACGTTCAATTATTCTATAGTATGTTGATGTACAAATATCATAATCTTGAACAATTGTTTCCTTTGGTACACCATCTTTTACTTTTCTTAAAAGTTCAAATTGCTCTATACACGATAGAGTTTTGCGTCTCATTTTTATTTTTGTTTAACATTAAGTAGTTTGCGGAAAAACGTTAAAAAAAAGTCGAGGTAAATATTTTATGAATTGTATAGTTTGACAGATACATGCTGTTTGGAGTAACGACTTAAAAGCGTGTTCATATAGTTACTGCTAACTCCTACAGAGAATATGTCGTATTGATTGTTGTGCTTCTAACTTTCACCATTTACTCGTGTCGAGTCGCCTTGACTCTCTCGCATATTTCAGTTTCATAACATTTATTTACCTTGATATTATATAACCGAACCATATTTTTGGTTTTTATGTGCTTCAAAAATAGCCTAATTTTTATTAAATCAAATTTTTCTGCTTTAAAAGTAGTTTAGAAGGGAATTTATTCTAATTTAACTCAACTGTTGATGAAGATCAATGAAGATGTTTAGAAATAGTCGAACGCAGCGCTACACAGTTGAATTTTATAACTACTTCAAGTTTCCTTGAAATTTATAGGTGTTTCAAGCTTAATATTTACTAACAACAGCAGACGACAAAAGTAAGTTAATCCGTATTTGTTAATTGATGGAAATTTAGAGAAATTGAAAAATGAAACGAAATATTAATAAAAAATCGAAAGTTGTAAAAAAATTTATAGTAGAGACACCAAAAAAAAGTACTGAACAAAATTGTGATATTAATAATGATGCTACTTGCTGTATAATATTCCCGAATCCAGAGATTGTAAAAAATAAAGTAAGCAATTCTTCTTCGGTGATGATTAGAAAAACACTAAGGCAGAATAATGAAAAATATTTAGTTGATGCTATGGAAAAATGGTTTGAGCAAGCAAGAGACAGAGGGGAAATAATTACCGGACGAATGATTCAAGATAAGGCATTATTTTTCCATGGAAAAATTAATGGTACATCATCTTTCAAAGTTAGTAAACTAGATATACATATAAAATAATTAATATTGCAATTTTTATTAATATTTTCTAAATTCTTCGACAATTTTTATTGATACTAATTTTTTTATTTAGGCAAGTAGCTCTTGGCTTTATAACTTTAAGAAACGTTGTGGAATTCAATACCTTCAAAAGAAGGAATACAACAGTTCCGAAGGAACAAAATATTTTTCCAATATTCTAAAGGAAAAAATTAGTTCCGAAAATCTTTCGTTGGAGAATATTTATAATGCGGATGAAACCGGTATTAATTGGAAGGTTCCCGATTTCTGTACATCGTCGATAGAAACATCAGAAATCAAATTTTCCGGTCATGATGATGATGTTTCTAATCGTGTAACAGCATTATTTGCCTCGAACTCTACTGGTAATCATAAAATTCCTCTTTTAATTATCGGAGAAGCTAAAATGTCAAATTGCTTAAAGGATTTAATAACTAAAAAAACGAAACATAATCGCTTGAATTTCCTCACAAGTATTAATGTCACTTATGCTGGTCAAAAGAATGCCAGGATGAGCAAGGAAATATTCAAACTTTGGTACTTAGTATAAACTAAATATTTTTTCTTTGATATCTGTACCTACTAGTGTTTTTGGTTTCTTGACTTTTGATACTAATTGATAACCTACTTTCCAGGTATGAGTTTGTATTTATTCCAAGTGCTCTGAATCATCGGACAGCGTCTGGAACATCTGGAAAAATACTTCTAATTATAGATAATGCACCATGTCATTCGGATATTGATGAACTGAATGCAGTACACAGTCAATGTGAGGTTATAAATTTGCCACATAACGTACCATCTGTAATACAACCCATGGAGCAAGATTTAATGACAACAGTAGTAAAGATCTATAAAAGAAATCTCCTCCTTCTGATGTTTAAGGCAAAATTAAAAAATGTTGATCAATTTTGGAATACATTCACTCTAAAGGAATGTTTTACATTTCTCGCCTCATCATGGGAGACTTTAAATTCTTCAATTCTCCGTAAAGCTTGGGTACTATTTCTAGATAACTATTGTGATACATCCGATGTAATTACAGTGAAACCAAACACAACAGTATTCTTTAATAATCTCATTGACGAATTATCATCATTTCCCGATGATATTTGTGATAAATTGATTGCACGCCTTTCGCCAGGTGCCGATTGTTCGATAAGAAAATTACAGAAAGACAAGGTAATTATTGTCAAATGGTTTAAGATACGTGATGATTTTGGTTGGGATCCACTGACGGATGAGAAAATTATAAATTTGACACTGGATAATAAGAGAAAGGATGAATTGTTGGATGATCCCCTTAGAATAGACGGTGAATTTCAAGAAAATATTCCCTTAACGCCGACAGAGAATTATGAGAGTGAAATGACATTTAATGAGACATGGAAGAATGAATTAGAGGATGTGAAGGATGACGATGAAGATCAAGTTACTTCCACAGAGGCTTTAAATTCATTAAGGAGAGTTAAGAAATGGATATTGTCGTGTGAAAAGAGTTCAAAAAAACATCAGCGCTTTGTTGACGAATTAGAAAAATTAATAACGCAATACTGTTAATATGAGTCGAATAAAAGTAATTTATTTTTTTGTCTATAAATTACACCTTTTTCATAAATTTCCATTTTTTCCTAATGATTTCATAATTACCCATTTTTTTTAGGCAAAGTCTATATAGTTCCTAAAAAATAATTTTTTTCCTAGTTTGTCGTTTTTATTAATAATAAAATAATAAGTTTACGTCATTTATTATAATTTCTTTAAACAAAAATTATATTAAATTTGAATTCCAAAGCAAAAGAATTCGTTTCAATGCATATATTTTATAAATAGATTTGTTTCCATTTCATCAACATAATAACATTACTCTAAATATTAATTATAAAACATTGATTTTATTTCAAACTACATTTTAGTTGAATTAATAGTAGGGTGCTAATGATGTATACCAATTAAACACATAATAATAATTACACTCGATTTCGTATTCAAATAACTTTTTATTTAAACCACAATCATTATCACTATGCTTGTAATTCACTGGTCAGCTGAGACGCCGGTTTTCCTGTCCTTGTCCTAAGGTCACTCAAATCTGATAAATCCTTCCTTATCACTCTAACGACGGCAAATCACCTGTAAATAAATTCGTCTCTGGCCGCTAACAATATCGTGGAAATTCGTCACCACGCCTTATTATCATCACATACAGTGAGCCGCAACCAGAATCAAATCAACTTTGGAAATTTAAGAAAGAGATACTAACAAACCGCTATTGTCTCAGTAACAAATACCTTGTAACAAGAGATGAGATGTTCTACCAGGGACTAGACTGGTCAGAAGAAGCACGCCAAGACCTAAGGCTGAGACGCAACAGCTGTAACGCAATCGTGTTAAGTAACGTTGTCCTGGATGCTCAGAAGCGGAAGAGAAGTAGTTCTAACTTCTAAGTTTTCGAAGGGCTTAAAGAAGAAGAAAAATGAAGGATCCCCCCAAAAAAACTGATGGCAAGAGGACTAAAAAGGCACCACAGATGGGTTCAGGCAGCAAGAAAAGACAACAACAAACGATGATCGTTAAAGTGAGTATGAAGGAACGTCATTCGCCACAGTGCTGCGGAAGGTTCGGGTAGAGGCAGACCTGAAGGCTAGTTAGACAAGAGTTGTGGGAGTAAGACCCACTCAGCAGGGAGACATCCTTATTAAAATTGGAGGGTCTTCAAACAAGAGGATGCTAGCTGAAGATTTGACAAAGGTAATCGGTGACTTAGATAAGGTGCAGATGGCGGACCGGTAGACTACGCTGGAAATCCGCGATATGGACATCTTTAAGGAACAGGACGACGTCAAGGTGGCCCTGGATTAACTATCTATCTACGGTACCAGAAGCAGAAAAGTCACGGTTCTGGGACCAAATAAGGGAGGAATAAAGCTCGCTGTCGTAGTTACCAGCCAAGAGAACGCTAACACAAACTGGAGGAAATAGGGCACGTTAAGATTGGTTTCGTATCCTGCAAATTAGTAGAAGAGTTAGAAATATAAAGAATTTTTGTCTCAACGCGATTTTCATAGCTGCGGCAAATCTAAAAATCTTTTAATTTACCCCAATTTAATACTTACTGACAATACTAATTGTAAGAACTTTCTATACCAACGTAGCCCTCTCTTTTTTAAACGTGTATTTTCTCAAATTAGACTTTTGAATAGACATGTGACACATATTTATATAAGAAAGAAAAAGTTCAAACTATCAAATAGTCCCGCTACATGTTACACTTGTGGAATTGTTGGGGATGAATTTTATCACATTTTAGCTGAATGCCCATTATACAATTGGTATCGGATAAAGTATTTTACAATCCCTTCAAATGTAGACCTCGTAACATTTTGGATCTCCGTTTTATCATCGAATGACCCAACTATTGTTAAAAAACTGATTTTTATGATCGATGAAATTTTGAATTTTAAGGAATATTATTGCTATCAGCCGTCTGGAGTTTAATTGTTTGTGTGTTTTATTTTTATTTGAATTTTGTTTGATACCATCGTTTATTGTTTGCGTTATAATTGAAACTCTACTTGTATAGACTACAAACAGTCTCTTATCAAGTGTATCCTCGTTTTAGTAGAAGAGTTATAGTCACAAGGTGTCATAGGTGCATTGACTTTGGCCATATAGGCAGAGATCGACAAGCAATAGATAGGTCGGCTGCGTGCTTCAAGTGTGGAGAAGCCGGCCATAAGGTAGCAGATTGTAAGAATAACCTATGCTGCTTCTTATTCCAGGCGAAGTTTGGCGAAAAGGAGAATATCCAACATTTTTCCACTTCCGACTACAAATAAAAAATAAAATTGGGCATGAAAATACGTTTAAATTTAATTCCAGTCAATTCTATTATTTTCTATGGACATCCAACCTAGATTTAGTTTCTTAACATGTGAAAGTGATATTGTAAGTGAAACTCATTAGATGGGTGGTCCATGCAAATGCGAGTACTCCTAATTTCAAGTCGTTCTGTAGATGCAAAACTTAGAATAATGTTGTAGTAAGAAAATTGTAAAAAAAATATTATGTAGAAACACTTGTATAGCCAAGTATTGTAGGCTGAAGACGGGTGTATAGACAAATAAATAGTTAAAAATTAGGGAGAAAAGTAAGCTTCATTTTGTATCGTTACGTAACTGTTCCAAAACTGTTATGGTAATTAGTAATTATTAATTCAATATTCCAACGAATTGAATGATAATTATTTTCTAACCAAGGGTTGATATACTATTTGTTTTGACCTAATTCCTAATTCCATGGATTAACTGGTCCATGTTGTAAGGATATGTTTTGTTTTGAACAATCCACGACAGCTAAAGGAGTGTATTGTAAAAATTCTTTTTTTGATAAAATTAGTTGTGATTCTTTTCTATAATAAGAAGCTTGAAAAATAATAAACATTGCATATAAAGTATAGGGTTTAATATCACTAATTTCATAACTTCTTTAGGGTATAATAATTTCTTTATTATCTGCGTAACATTTATTTTTTACAACATCTATATTAGAAAAAGAATTAAAGCATCTTGAAGTGCTGATTTAATAGTAGATTATTCTGCATTTGCATCGAATTTAAAATTTAATAGAATATTTCGCTGCCGTTATACTGTTTCTCAACGTTGATTTCTTAATTTTATTTCTTCTCTTCTTCTTCATATTTTCTTTCTACTCAAATATTTTGTTCTAATTTTTGCCTCATAAGCACAAAGTTAGAAATAAAAAATTTTAGTTTTGTTTTTGAATTTTCATTTGCTGATAACTAATAACAGCTGTACAAATAGTTTAAAATTAGACAGAAAATGAAAAATATTTATTCTAACGAATAACATTATTAGCATTATTCAAATTTAATTATTTTATATTTTTTAATAATGAATAAAAATAAATTTTTAATAAATTGTTAAATAGGTATAATAAAATATAAATGTTTTATTAAATTATTAAAAATATATGTGAAGCTTCAAGGTGAAAGGGACCTGTCTACCAAAACATAATATTAGGCACACTCTTTCTAGATTATTTTTGTCACATTTCAAAAATGGTACCTACCTCTGTAAGAACCCTTTTAAAAAATTCGGCATTTTTATAAACAAAATTTAAATACAAAGAATCTAATAACGAGAGAGACTGTTCTTATGAGAAATATCTTTTCTAATATTTCAGCTATAATTATTAGATATAGAAAAATAGAATTTTTACATTAACATTTTTTAAAGAATTTTAAGACTAAAGTAAATTATTTAAACTTTGATAAACAGTTCCGGTTGAAATAAAAATAGTTTAATAAAATTTCAAATTCTGAACAACTGTTCAATTATTTGTGTACTTTACGCAATAAAGTAAAATATCATAAAGCAATGTACTCATGTTTCAGTATAAAAACTAGTTCAACTCCATTTGATGCATCACTTATAAAAATTTAAACTGTATCATAAAACGTTCTTTCTTTTTGAAAGAAATATCTTTGCTTTAGAATTTTTTTCAAAATTTTACAATGTTCCTCACGAAATTTGCCTTTTCTTTAATTTTTTTTATTTCATGTGTTTTAATCAATTGTAACTGCAAAAGTTGTGATGATCAAGGAGCCTTGTCTGGCAGAAGTCCATCAATTACTTGCAAATATGAAGGTAATTTCGCTCGTGGTCAATAATATATTACATGATTCACTAAAACTACATTTTAAGTAGAGAATAAAATAAATAATTTTCTGGGAGACATTGATACACTTGCTCTAATATTATATAAAATTAGTTACTAATTATTATAATTAAATTAATTTTGTGCATTTCACTTAATACATTTTTTTTTAGATTTTACATTAGTCACCTCAACTGGCGATTCGTATGGACTCATATTTAACAAAACTTTCTCCACATTTGAAGAAGCTATGGGTAATTTTAGACCATTTGTACAATATAGAAACAACAAGTAAATTAAATTATCTTATATAAATTACAAGACATTTTATTCAATACTTCATAAATTTCTATGAATCTTTGAGAATTCTGATTAAAAGTAAAAAAGTGATTTTATATATCAGTAATAATATTAAAGCTAATAATAGTAATAAAAGTAATGTTTGTGAAATTAAATATTTTATTCATTTCAGAGAATTGCCTTCAAGTAAAGATCAGTGCTGAAAGAGAAAATTATACTATTAAAAGAACTTTCATCGAATATAAGTGTAGAGGGAATAATTTTGGTGCTTTAGATGCAACAGATGCTCTACGTAAGTAAATAGCTCTGTAACAAAATTAATATGTAATTATGGTTTCATAACAAAGTGTAACTTTTCAAATTTTAGGCTACTGTATTCAAGGAAATGATCAAGATCAATACTCTTGCACAAAAGAAGTTAATCTAAACTTTATATTAGGTATAGATAGTACAATGTTGTAATATTTACAAAAAATATTGTTTGTGAATAAATAAAATACTCATCATCAGATACCTAAAAATTTATTTTTGAATCCCGAAATTTTAAAAGTAGGTAATAATTTGTTTAGTAAATGTATACATAATTTTTAGAAACTTTCTTTTAAATTAAACTGGACTTGTCTATTATTTTCAAGAATTAAATAAAATTAAATAAACCTTTTTAACATCATAAGATGGTAAATGGGTTTTTTTTAAACCTTTTTAAGTTTCTTAAAAATTTATTTTGGAGTGTTTAAAAAAAAATTGCGAGATTTCGACAAAATCTGAGGACTTTACACTTTTTTGAACGTTCAGTAAATTGCAGATTCAGACCACTGTGTAGACAGAATGATTTTTAGAAAATATTAGTGTTGCTACTGTAAATGTTCGAAATCATTATATTTGTATAAGTTTTTAAAAAATTTCACCAACCCTTCTTGGTAAGTTTTGTAAAGAGCATTCACCCCTTTGCCTCATAAAAAAAGGGATAGATATATTAAAAAAAAGGGTTCCCAATAGTCTTTTAGGGGAGTTTTAAGAATCGATGATTCAAAACTTTTCTATACTATAACATTTCGATTTTAGGGTTTCATGAACATAAATTTTTACAAGACAAAATTATTTTCGCTTTCTGTAAATAATTAATGCAATTTATAATTTTTAGTTCTTTTTAAATTTTTTTAAAATAAGAAACATACAAATCAAAAAAAAAAATTTTTTAATTTTTAGAGGTAACAAATTTTGATTAAGATAGGAATACTTTTTTCAAAAACAAATATTTTTTTAACTCTTTTGGTTGAAAACAAATGGAGAGAGAGAGAGGCTGGTACTGTTCTCCTCACAGCCAACGGCAATAGAGCTTTTAAACTTATATTTCTTTTCGACCACCCCCAATGAAGCAGGTTCTCTTCGGGATTGGCGGATTCTGGAGTTCTATTGGACGGAATTGAAGCCTCTACATACACGTAAAACATTTTCAAGGAAAGGGTGCTTCAGTCCACTGAAGACCTTCGTTTAATTTACATCATATTATGTCAACAAATGATTGTATTTTTTGTGTCTGAATTTTTCCATCTGCAAGACTTTTTCTTTTTAAATAAAAATAAATTTGAAATATTTAGTCAAGTTTGGAAACTAGTTTAATATTTTCAAAAAAATTTTAACAGAAAATATTTTTTTTCTTTTTTTATAATAATTTCCTGTTAATTCGAATAGAGAAGCTTATAGTAAAAAAAATGTTGAACCTTCATAAAAAAAATTGATTCAGTGGTCCCCTCTCGTGTGCACCGCTTTTCTATTTACCCCTTTTTCTATTTCACCCCTTTCACGAGAATCACACTTTTTACTATACCCCCAGATCAGAGCAAAGAGATTGAAAAAAATTGTCAATGATGCTAATTTTATTTTGTACTTTTCAATCCTTTTTTGACAATAATTTAAAAAATGGGATCAAAAAGAGATTTTTTTAATAATTTTTATCGAATCACCATTTTTGGTGAGGCAGTTATGATCACATTTTGGTACCGACTGATTTTATTTTGAAAATTTTTTTTTCTATTAGCTTGACAATAATATTCCCTTTTGATGCTAGCGAATGGGTTGTAGATAAAAAACAGTTCACCCTTTACATCCCCTGTTTTAGAATTCTCTCGCGAAGGGGTGGAGCTTCTGTTCCCTACCACTTTGCATCCTCTGTTGAATAGAAGACGAAATCTTCGCAGTCTTAAAAAACCCGTCGTGGGTGTTGTGTGTTTAAATTTCAACATACCTGTTAAATTTTCAAAAAAAAGAATTCCTTTTTTGTAGTACTTTTATCATCAATTATTTACGGTACCAAAAATCTATAATTACAAAATGTTTTTGTAAAAATTTTTAATTTTAGCAAAATTACAAAAACATAATTTTATCGAAATTTATATTTTCTTTTTAATTTTTGTCTTATAATTTCTACTAAGAATAAAATATCAAAACAAATTTTCAAAATTACAGTTGTACCTTTTTTCTGTAAAAAAATTGAAACTATGTTAGAAAACGATTATTTACATTTTGAACGAATTACTTTGGACGAGAAAACAATTTTCCCTCTAGAATTAGATTTTGATTTTCAAGTTGAAATAATCTTGTTTTCCTTGATAATAAAAATTTAATTTCTTAAAAAAAGTTTTTTAAAAAAGTATTTAAGAAAAGAAATAATTTTCTGTTTCTAACTTAAAAAATATTGTCAATTTAAATATTTTATTTTTTTGGCTCTACTTTATTTTGTTATTAAAAACTGATTTTATTAACAGCTTAAAATAAAGGAGCATTTACACTTTATATATTATTAAAACTGATGCTTAATTTTTTTTGTCTTAAAATATATGTTTTTAGAAGCTGGAAAGTGAGTGATGTGATATTAAGTTCCAATTCTTGATAATGGACTATGAATTAGAAAAGGATTTAAAATACAACAAATAATGGTAAGAATTTTTTATTTTCTCCCTAAAAAATTAAATTAATCGTAAAAATACAAAGAGTATTTCCTTTTTCCGACGGTATAGAAAATAGAATCGCCGTAAAGGTAATATTAGATTCTTCATTTAAAACGCGTTTTTCAATTTTAATCGCTTACAAAACATTTAGACAACCGTTTGATAAATTCTATTATTCGTTAATACTATTTATTACTCTGAATTCTTTTAATTTAATACGTTTTTCAAATTATACTACAATTTAGTTTTTTATCAGAATTTTTCTTGTTATAGAATTAAAATTTCTAGTTTTAATATTTTTGAAATAAGTACGAACACAACTGATCGATATTTATAAAAGAGAACGCAATATTTAATTTGTTAAACTTTTATAAATTCCAAAAAAAGAGAATAAATTCGATAAGTTTAGTTTCTGTCCGACGGATGATCTTCTTAATTTTTTTTTGAACTGCTTGTTGTGTATGATGTTGACATTGAATAATGTCTATTTTTTCGAATTACTTAATATTACATAGATCAGTTTAGTTCTTTTATATAAGATTTCAAAAATTAAGCTGGAATTTCATTTAATTGGCAATATGTTACGAATACAACGAGGTTAATCAAAAAAAGGAAGCAACTTCAATTTAGAGAATATGATTTATTTTTAATAATTGAGAAAAATTTTTATGAATTTATTTGTGACATTGTTTTAACTTTTAAACTTTATTTTAAAGTTCATTAGTTTTTTAGTAGATGACAAGGTTGGTAGATAAAAGTTTTTTGAAAATCAGTTCCTATATTTAAAATAATTCTGTCACTTGCAATACAATTGTTAACCCTTTGAGAACCAGTGTTGCATTCAGGCAAGATGAACATTTTTTTATTAACTCGGGCATAAATTTCTTAATTTTCAAAACTGAATATTGAAACAATAATTTTTACATAGTCTGGAAAATTTCGTATCACAAACACTGGTCTTTAAGTAAAAAAACTTCAATAACTTTCCCTGAAAAGTTTGCTTAAAAATGAAAAATCGCGATTTTTTAAGAAAAAATTTGGCCCTCAAAAGATTAAGTTGAAAGTGATTCATTTTATCAACCGTCACGTTAAAAATGTTTAGTTCAGTGATAAGTAAGACCTTAAATTATCGTTAAAAATTGTAAAATTTAAAAGAATAATAACAGTTTTTAAAAAGCAGCTTTAACATTAAAAAAATATTTTTATTTAGTTTTTGAGAATAATAGACAAAAGTCTAGTTCAATTCAAGAGAATAATTGTCAGGTATCTCATGATAAATATTTTATTTATTCATAAGCAATTTTTTGTAAATGTTTCAATATTTAGCTCTAAGAATTTTTAAAAAAGTTCATAGAAATTTATGAAGTTTTAAATTAGTTGTCTTGCAATTTACATCTTACGTAAGATATTGTCAAGGATTCTTGGAGGATCTTTCGGGGTTCCTGTTAAAGAACTGTCTGCAGGTAAGGTTCACAAAGCGTCGAATACAAACCAAGGCAGAAAACCACCAAGGCTACCGCGAAAATCAACAATGATTGTCAAGGTAGCTAAAGGAATTAATTTTGCTGATGTCTTGGGAAAGATTAAGAGAGTCTGAACCTGATGCCAGCCAGACAAGAGTAGTAGAAGAGATTGGTAAGGTGCAGATCAGTGACCAGGATTGCCTTACTAACAATGCCGAAGTCCAGGAAGCCTTGGTGAAAATTTTAGGAACACTATCAGCTAGTAGAAGAGTGTCGGTCCTAGGGCCCAACAAGCGTTGCCTGAAGCTCGTTGTTGTAGTCACGAACATGGAAGAATCTGAAAAGCTTAAAAAGTTGGGCTAAGTCGTGCCTAATCAGAGAAAGGTGTATGCTGCTGTCCAAATTAAAAACCTAGTAACCGCTTTTTTCATATGGTCGAAGTTCACTTAGATTATAAACTTGTCATATGTCTGCGTCTTGCGAAAGAAGCTCAACCTTCTTCTTATGCAATAAGAAAAGTGCGGCGTCAAAGTTGACGTGAACCATGTCGCAAGCAGCGGTAGATGCGGAGTCTTTACTGCGGCTCTTGAGGAGGTCTAAAGGACAACGAAGGCTGCGGGAGGAGGAAGCAGTTTGCACTCAAAAAATGGAGGAGGAAGTCATCAAAATGCTAAAGTCCTGTGATGTCCAGAAAAATGCCAATATGAAAATCAAATATAGACTGAAAAGCATAACATCGCTCATACAGGAGGTCAAGGAGAAGCACGCAGTTGCAAAAGACGTTGATGTTCAATCAACAATTAACGTGGTCAAAGGAATCAAGACAAGATAGAAGATTCAGACGAAAAAATAAAAAAAGGAGGAAGGACCTCCGAAAAAGACTAAGGACAAAACAAAGCATTAGGAAGTTCATAGAAATGGTCAACAATGATCGTTAAGGTGGCTGAAGGTTCGACGTACGCAGCAGTTATGAAAAAGATCCGTAAGGAGGTGAACCCAGAGAAAAGCCATACTCTTTGTGTTGGAACTTGACCTAACAAGAAGGCAGAGCTCTTTATCAAACTTGCAGGTTCTTTGGATAAGGAAACGTTCACCAAAGAATTGACAAGGGTGATTGGTGACCTAGGTAAGGTGCAAATTGTGGACCGGCCAACTACTTTGGAGGTCCGCGATCTGGATTGTTTTACAGAACCAACAGATATGCAGGAGTCTCTGTATTGGGTTTGGGTAATGTCAGTAGCTATCAAAAAAATAACGGTCCTGGGACCTAAAAATAGAGGTGTAAAGGTTGCTATTTTATTAACCACACAACATGATGCAAATAAGCAGGAAGAACTCAGCTTTGTGTCTTGTTCTGTGAGGATGGAGATAGAGATATACCAGAGGAAGAGTGTTGGCAGATGTGCTAAAGAAGCCAGGAAGCTGTTAAATGACAAGGAATGAAGCTTGCATTTGTAGTCAACGACCCAGAGGAAGCTGAAAAGCTAGAGGAATTGGGACGTATAAAAGTTGACTTTGTGTAGTGTCCAATGAGGATGAGAATAGTACCAAAATTATGTTTCATTTATTTATAATTATTCTACCTTTTATAACAACCCCAGACAATTTTGGATTGCGTAATCCAAGGTATCTGTAATCAGATTTCCCAAAAGTCACTATGAACAAATAAATCGTTTAACATTGAAAATGAAAAACTATGCAACGTATAGCTGAAGCAACACATGAAGCTAATTTATTGATTAGGTGGAGTCTCAAAAACTGCAGTTGGTAAAAAAATTACACAAGTCATAAAAATATTATATTAATATTTTTAAAAAATTTACAAGAGAACTTATTTTTACTTAGCTTTTATATAATTTCCTCTTAATTCGAATAGAGAAGAAGGGTTATAGTAAAAAAAATGTTGAACCTTCATAAAAAAAATTGATTCAGTGGTCCTCTCCCGTGTGCCGCTTTTCTATTTACCCCTTTTTCTATTTCACCCCTTTCACGAGAATCACACTTTTTACTATGCCCCGCGATCAGAGCAAAGAGCTTGGAAAAAATTGTCAATGATGCTAACTTTATTTTGTACTTTTCAATCCTTTTTGTCGAATAATTTAAAAAATGGGATCAAAAAGAGATTTTTTAAAATTTTTTACCGAATCACCATTTCTGGTGAGTCAGTTATGATCACATTTTCGTACCGACTGATTTTATTTTGAAAATTTTTTTTTCTATTAGCTTGACAATAATTTTCCTTTTTGATGCTAGCGAATGGGTTGTAGATAAAAAACAGTTCACCCTTTACATCCCCTGTTTTAGAATTCTCTCGCGAAGGGGTGGAGCTTCTGTTCCCTACTACTTTGCATCCTCTAGTGAATAGAAGGCGAAATCTTGTCAGTCTTAAAAAACCCGTCGTGGGTGTTGTGTGTTTAAATTTCAACCTACCTGTTAAATTTTCAAAAAAATCCCTTTTTTGTAGTACTTATCACCAATTTACGGTACCAAAAAAAAAATTTTTGTTTTTGTAACATTTTACTTCACATATTGTACATAACACTGTTCGACAAAATTTTGCTACAAGAATAAACGATAGTGATTCTTACAGGATTTTTGCTGTAGATTACGAATCTATAAGTAAAATTGTCGCATCACGTCGCGTTCTTTTTTTAAAGTGCTTCAAAAAGTGTCAAAATTGAGAAAAAAAAAAATTGTTCTCAAAATTGAGAGGTGATGGGACAATTTCACTTATAAATTCATAATCTACGCAAAAATTCTGTAAGAATCACTATCGTATATTCTTGTAGCAAAAAAATCCTAATTTTGTCGACCAGTGTAATTGATGCTTACTGTTTTTGTTTTAAGTATAGATTTTTAGACAATGGTTATTGAGTGATTTGAAATTAAGTTCCAATTTGGGATAATGGATTATGAAATAGAGTTAAAAATGCAACAAATAATGGTAAGAAAATCTTTTCTTATAAATGAGGAAATTAAATTACTCGCTAAAATAATTTGCCAATACTATTTACTAAGGTTATTTAATTCTGATTGTAAGTTAAAGTAGTCCTGATAATTTTCAATGATTTTATATAAAATTTAAGATCATCTGCATAAAAAAGGAAAAAAATATGTTAAAAAATAGATTGTATATCATTGACATATAAGATTAACAAAAAGAGACCCAAGTTAGATCACTGTGGTTACCTTCGGAAGATTCCAAAATTGTTGGGCGCCAGTCCTATCATTGGACAAATAAAAAAAATAAACAAAAGACTAAATTTAAGTTAAATTTTTTTCCCAAATAAATTTTTGTTAACTTAGCCCCTTTGCTGGATAATAACAGAGGGGAGGTTCGTTTATAATATTTTAAGAATTATAACTGCATTTTTAATTATAAAATCATTGACATTTATAAAATTAAAATTTTTAGAATTTAACAATATTTGAGAATAAAAAAATAATTCTTTATCAATTTGAGACTAGGACAACTAAATTAATTTAATCGTTGAATTTAATATACAAGAGTGAAATCAATTTGAC